CCCTCCATCAGGGTACCATAGGACACGGACAAATCCGCGACCCAGAGGCCGACTGTGTATGTCACACGGGACTCGTCCACCTCCCCGCCAAGGTCCTCCTCCTCCTCCTCCTCCTCCTCCGCCTCGGCAGAGACGTCAGACGGCGGAATTGCCGCACACACGCGGACACAGAGGAGCAAAGCCGTCGGAAAAAGTTGGCGTTTACTCAGTGACGAGACAAAATGCGGCGCGGTCGTGTCGAGACTAAACGTCAAGGTCAGAATCCGAGACGCGACGACGACGACGCCGCCGCCTTGCGAGCGACTTTGCCTGGAAGGGGACGGAGAGGCGCGGAGGGGGATGCCACTGCGTGTCGTTGTCTCCGGCATCAACAGTGACACCTTTCCTCGGAGAGGACATCCGCGCTCGCTGCTAAGTCACGCCGACAAACTTGTTCAAAAGGCCGGAAAAGAGCGACTTGTTCCGACTTTTGACATTGCGTCCGCCTATTGTATTATGAGCCTCCTTCAATTATCGTGACGTTTCCTGCTTCCTCCCTGCCACGGCCCTCGGCTGCTCACCTGGCTAGCCAAGACGCTCCACACCGGCTAGCTAACCGAATAAACCTCCCCGTGGTTCCAAAGTCTTCGAAACAGTTGCACGATTGCAGTGAAGTTCGAACCGACAAAGGGTCCAACTTCGTTCAACTTCAAACACGCTTCAACACCTCCACTACCACCCCTGAAAGATGTCTCCCAGGAGAGGCTTTCGTCACCCGGGCAGCTTCGGTAGCAGCTTGCCGGAGCGGGGGCTTCTCTTGCTGGTGCTCATCGTGCTCCTGCAGGGCTCCCTGCTGCCCTTCGGAGCCGCCAGCTCCCCGGACGTGGGCCACCGAGACGAGGCAGACGTCCACGCCGAAGCGGAAGAGAAGCACAACTTCACCAAAAAGCCCTTCCCGGTACTCAGCTTTGAGTACAAACACATCCAGGTCCCCTTCGAGATCTCCTTGTGGGTCCTTCTGGCTTCCCTGATGAAACTGGGTGAGTTGTTTGTGTGCGTTTGTCACTCGTGTTTGGGTCAGGTAGGTACACTTTTATAATGTGATCCAAAAATGCCTCTTTGGCACAGAGGTGATGCGCTCATGAATGATTCTTTGAGTTGCTGTGGTCTACAAACTGCACTGCATCATACCATGACTTGTTGACCTCACTGCCAAATCTGGAAAAGCCCATGGGGTCGAGACGACGGTTTGCATCACAATCCCAAAAGAGAAAGAGAGAAGAATGTCTTATTCTGAATCTGAGCAGAGTTGATAATCCCCATTTTAGCTGAATGCAACGTTTTGCAGATAAGATTGTCGCAACTCTTTGTTTAGCGATGCCTAGGTTGGACTTGGTAGATAAACGGACCCAAAAGGCCGCGCGGTTCATTGAATTTGCTCAGTTCAGTCGTTCACTCCAGCGGTGAAAATCTAGATCGATGATTGCCGGTGATGAGGAGAGGAGTCCTGCGGGTTTTTATTTTACGGCTCGCCACAGCAATGACAAAGCAGTCCTGATGCGGCCTTGGATGACGGACAGCAGTAGTTTGGCTAATCATCACAGCAGTCATAATAACAACGAACACTGTGACCTCTGGAGCAATGGAAGTGAGCCTGGTTTTTCTGTCATTATCCGAAATAGAGATGAACCGGTCTGAAACGTTTCCATACCAATTATGCGACCAAAATAGTCACAGTTAATGAAGGACATGCAAACAAAAACAACTCCTGATATGTGCATCTTTTGTTTTTATGACAACAGTAACCTGATGTATCTTTAACACAGTACGGATTGTCAACATCTGACCTCTAAAGTGAATTTTAAGTGAACTCAAGAGTCCTAAATCAGTCACCGAATGGCATAATTGCATAGTTGTAAAAATAGTTAAACAAAATGTTTGTGTGTGTGTGTGTGTGTGTGTGTGTGTGTGTGTGTGTGTGTGTGTGCGTGTGTTCGTGTGTGGATTTGGTCAAGAGGCAAGGTGACCTGTGATTGGCTGTAATCTAAGGGCTAAGGTGAAGGGTCATTCAGAGGGGCACCACATCAACACCTTTTCCACTGTGTGTGTGTGTGTGTGTGTGTGTGTAGGTGTGTGTGTGTGTGTGTGTGTGTGTGTGTGTGTGTGTGTGCTTGATTAAAAAAAAATCTCGATCCATTTTCCAATCCTACAAATAACAGGGGTTGCTGCCCCACCACCCAAAAAAAAAAAAAAGTACTGTATGAACCCCCCCTTGCAATTAGGTGAATCCATGGGTGCCGGACGGTGATGATCTGGGGTTTGAACTGTAGATCTTTCAATTCTTTTTCAAACAAAAACAAAAGGCCATTTTTCAGAGAAAACAAATGATCTGATAAAGCGACACGTGAAAATCTCAAGGCTGATGTTTCCCCACTCCCACGGCATTGGTGGCGGTCGCGCGCATGGCAATTTTGACCAATACTATGCACAACAAGCTTTTTTTCAGTCCCTCCCATCCGCTAGTTCTGGAGCGCCACTGCAGCACGTGAGCTCAAGACAGGTGACCTGCATTTGATTCACATCAAACTCAAATAACATGTCGTCATTCTCGGTGGACATTGACTGAAGTGGAGGCATATTGTTGACGACAAGATGGTGGACGCAGGAAGAGACGGCAGAGTGACTGACTGTCGACTGACCGCTGGCCACAAGGCTCCGATTAACCCGGGAAGGCTGGAAAATGGGATGCGGGTAATTGAATGTGGCTGCTTCACTGCTCGGCCGGTCTCCGTGTCGGCGCCTGTTGGACCCCTCATATCTTACATGGCTTGAATGTGCCCTCCGCAGTCCGTTTATCTCCTTTGCAACCCGTCTGTGCACACATGAGAAGATCACAGTCCCTTGAGTTCACCTCAACGCCACTTGCTGAAGTCTCAGGAAATGACAGTTGCACGTTCGTAAAATGCCCCCAAAAGGAGAACAAATTACCAAGGTGCTCGTATTTTGCCTCAGTCAGTTTAGCTGCCAGTGCATTATCGAAATGACCTCCTCTATTTGTTTTCATGTTGTAAATGAACGTCCAAATGTAATGAGTAACGTCTTATCGCCAAGTCGTATAAATACTGTATCCAACTGGGATGCTTTTTGTGACATCAAACATCCACCAGATTACAGATAGCGTTCATTGAAACGCTTCAAGAAACAAACCGCTGGTCAGTACAGTACAGATCTCATACAAAATCCCCAGTGACGAGCCAAATAAAAGGACTCCCACGGGCCTGTACAACAGGGATAACAAGAAAGCGGCGGCAAGGTCGGATCGAACTCATTAAGGCTTAGAAGTCACGGACATATCGCCATTGCGACATTTTTTGCTTTTCCGCCGTGATCTCAGCGTCGCTTCCCAAAAAGAAGGAAGATATTTCCTCACTTGTACGTGTTCTGACAACCCCAGAAAAAAATGGACACCCTTTGTTCTCTTCCCTTTGAGTATGCTGCGCCGTGGCAGTACGAAGGAACGGGTTTCAAAATGAGTGGAAGAATAATACTCAAGTAGCAGTGATGAACGGGCCTCTCTCACGCCCGTGCCAGTAGTTTTATGGGATGCCATCAAACTTTGCTGCCGTCAACTGCCCACAAGTAATGACAGAAACTCAAATTCTTCATAATTCACCCAGCCGGCGAGTGTACTGTATTTTCACGACCAGAAGGCGCACATAAAAGTCTTACATTATCTTCCAAATGGACGCGGCGGCTAATAATGCGGGTTGCCTCGTGTATGCACCGACTTCCACAATCTGAAAAAAACCCGGCCTAATTGAAGTTGCAATTGGTGTGGCAGCAATGGCGAACGCAGCCTTACTAAAACTGGGAGGCAACGCCGGGCGAATGACGCCACAATTTCTCCGCAATGAGACTGACTCTGACAATGACGCGAGGGAACCGGCCTTGTTTGCCAGATGTTCTTTTCGGATACAGAAGATGAGGACTTAGCTGGATTTGATGATGAGTTGTGTCGTTAACCTTGATGATTACTACTGTTGCGGTTGAGTCCAAAGTTAAATGAGCACTCTTCGAGCAAGCACTCTTATCTCTTTCACGTATATTGGAAAGAGTCCAGGTTAACCATTTAAAACCTCACCATTGGCAACGCCTCAGTCGACTTAGATGTGCTACTTTGATTTGAGATAAGACATTTTATCTTGAATTTTGTCTGGCCGCTTACTGTGTCAACGAAATCGCCAAGATGGCTCATCTCCTCCGCATCAAAGGCTCCTTCAAGCTGTCATAAAATCTCGATTGCTTTCAAATTCGTCAGAACATTTGAGCACTTCCTAACTGCTGATCATTTATCTGTTCTTATGAGACAGTGTTATCTGGAAGTGAGATTAAATTGTTCTATGTTTACAATGGTCCTAACTCTTATCAGAAGTTTGTCGCTGCAGTTTCAGTCCCAGTGGTTCAAATGGGATCATCCCTTACTATACCTGCTGTCAGTCATGATGAATAATTCAAACCATTGCTGCTATTTTGCTACTTGAATCCACCACAACTCACCCCGTTCAAAAACATGACGGTGACACACAGTCAGTCATGTTCAGAGCTACTCATTGAAACAGTCATACCATACAATACCGTACATCTGTATTGATATATTTTGTTTGGGCGACATGGCTGAGCGGTGGAGTGGTCGTTTCCCAACTGTCCGGTCTGTCAGTCACGTTCGGGGCTCCTTTTCCACCCAGTCGGCCATGTGCACGGCTCCTCTTTGACACATGGTCGGGCATGTTCAGAGCTACATTTTGACGCACTGTTTTTGGCCGTTCGTCTTCAGAGCCTCTCTTTGACATTTAGCGCTCCTCTTAGACAAGCTCAGGGCTACTCTGACACTTGGGCCGTCATGTTTGCAGCTATTATTTGAAACAAGGCCCCGCGTTGCGCAAAGCTACTTTCCGGACGGTCAAGTCCAGGAAATGTGTTCATTGTTTGCGCCACCAAAGAGTCTGTGGCTGTTGAGCTTACAGGGCGATTCAGCCGCCAGCGGTGCTCAATTAGTCACCTGGCAACCAGACACGGTTCCTGACCTTCTGTGCAGTGCGGGACTGAATGGACGAGCCGTTGCCCTTTAGTTGGTTGGAATAACCTCGCTGCTTGAAGGCTCCCAGGAGGGAGCGAGCGAGAGCCAAGGACACGCTTGCGGTTATGAACAAAAAGCAGCCGGGAATGACAATGGAAGTTGGGGGCGGGCGGGCGAATGTGACCACCTCTACACTGACGTAACCTGCCAAGAGTCACGTCAGCGCCGTTCCTTGACATGCATTGTACGCTGCAAGCCCCCAGGTCCACATTTCGAAACTCGTGCAGCGCTCTTTCACCCCTGTCGATTTAAGGCTAACGCTGGAGTCATGCGGGACAGATGCTGTCGTCAGTTACGTCCGCCTTTCCTCTATCTAAACAGCGTCGCCACACGTCAGTCAGTCAAGCAGACCCCTCATCGAAGTGACGCCATCGCATTCACAGATTTTGGAACCCAACCGCATTATTTGGCGCACCGTCCATTTTGGAGAAAATGTAAGACTTTGAAGTGTGTCCCCTTTTGGTCGTGAAAATAACGGTATTTGTTCAAATGGACTCTCTCCCATGACACACAATAGCCAAGTTGCCCCAGGAAGCCCGCTGATTGACGACCAGCACGGTGCCATTTACTCTGAAACCAAATCTTGGCTCACATGATAAGAGTTATGCGGCGAGTAAGCGGTTCGCACAATTGCTCGTTTAGCCGAGCGAGGAGGCAGACTACTTGTCAGAACGACCTTACATTTTGGCACCTGGTCCGACTGCCGAAACAGTCTTCAGGGCTGCTACGACGACCGGTGGGCTTTATTGTAATGAGCCCGTTCCCGAGAGATGCTGACATTTAGTTATTTGTGGCTGAATGATGTTGAGCCTCCAGTGCAGGTCAATGTTCCTTGAGAATAGACGGTCCTGCTTATATGCTGATGGCTTCAAGGGATTAGTTGAGCAATTCCCATCCCGCTCATCAGATTTCATCGGCAAACGCATATGGTTCCTCTTATCAAAGGCCGTCTTTCAGTGCGGCTCTGCTGAGTTGGCGGGCGCCCGCTGTGTAAGTTCTATGAAAAGACAAGCCTCGGCCGCTGACGTGCCCGTGTCGGAAATTCCACTCGTGCGTGTCCCCCAACAGACATTGAATTGTTGGGCTCGCACGCTCAAACAGTGATGGCGTTTGTCCATGAGATGTGAACATATATATATATATATGTATGTATACGGCTCCCTCCCCTTCAGACGTCTTGTATTTCCTCCCCAGAAAACCATTCCTTGAGCCTTGCTTGAGCACACTGTACTGTGCGGCGCGCTTGTCATGCGGCCCTTGATGCTACCGCACGTAATCCTCGTCTAAAACTAGAATGGTACGAGCCGAGGCCTGAACAATCTTAATATGGATCACCCCGGCACTGAACGCCTTCTTAAGATGCAGATGCCTGATTTTGCCATTTTGGTTTTCGTCCCCGTGTAAGTATTTCAAAGTGGAAGAAGTGGGCGTATCACAGTACACGATTGCATGGAAGTGATAATTAAAGGCCATCAGCACACATTGACTGCTGAGAAATTGCCTTCTTGAGAAACAGAGAACGTCGTGAAGCAGTTGAGGCAAAATGGAGCGCACCATTCAAACAACACAGCGTGCGCTAAGGCCTACTACCGGGTTGTGACACCTCCTGGTGTTGAAACAGGAGTCTGGAACATCACCGAGCTTCTCCCGTCTCATTCAGTAACAACTGTCGGTCGCGTATGACATATACGCTGTTGAAGGGTGTTCAAAAGACACACGGTTGTGACCTGGCATGCATATTACAGCGCTTTCAGTCATCTTGATGAATATTTAGGAGCCACTGGTATTCTTGTTGAACCCTCATGTGAGGATGTATTCTTACCTGGCTCATGTTTCTGTGTGTGTGTGTGTGTGTGTGTGTGTGTGTGTGTGTGTTGTGTGTGTGTGTGTGTGTGTGTGTGTGTGTGTGTGTGTGTGTGTGTGTGTGCTTCATGCCAGCTGGCTCTGCGCAGCACTTGTGTACAGTAAATATAATACCGAGGAAAGACTTGTCACTCTGGTCTCTTTGAAGTCCTTCTTCCTTCTCTTCCACTTGCCCTCTTTTTGCCTCATTGTGTGCTGTGATTGTGTCACTTTCGGCACAGGACTGATGGTGTCCGGTCGGGTTCAGGGTGTCGATAGCAAACATGTTTATTTCCATTCCCGCAACCTGAACTTTGGAATACAAAGAACTCAAGCTGCAGGAAGCGATGAGTGGGCCCTCGCGTCCTCTTTTTCATGGCAAGCAGTGTGTATGAAAAACCACCAATGTGACAGTATCACATTATAATAGCGGGCTTATCACAGTCATGGACAACATATTCATGATCACTCTTCACCGCTTCACCTCATTGGGCCTTCTGAAAGGCCCCAAGATGCCCCAAGATGCGGGCAAAGTAAAGTGTCGAGACTAACTGGTGTCAAAAAAGTCTGTTGGAAGGATGAGGGACGTGCATGTGCACTGAAGATTTTGAAACAATTGAAACCTGTGATTGGAAAGCCTTTCTTTCTTAGGGGTGGGGTTGGGGGAGTTGTAAAAGGAGTAGTTTGTGGCCTATTACTCAACTCAAGTCAGCTCAACTCAAACTGTGTTTCTGGAGCACTCTAAAACAACCACCGCTGTCGACAAAGTGCTGTACATGGAAAATTCAAAAAGAATTCATGCAACAATAAATTATAAACAAAGACAGTAGAAAGCACAAAAACAGTCGGGCTAAAAATCAAGTCTCATGCTGAGTCCAAAGCCAAAGGATAAAAGAGACGAATTTGAAAGATGGCCAGCGAGGGGGCTTGCCCAATTTTCATTCAAAAGAGAGGGACCGGCTCCTTCCCCTCTGAGCTTAGTTCTCGGTACCTTTAACAGTGTCCGGCCCGCAGACCTGAAGCAACGGGTAGGGAGCTCCGAGAGGTCAGGTGGGGCCAGACCACTGCAAGATTGGAAAACAAACCAGAGGGTCCTCTTCAAAACAACTCGAAAATGCAGCCAGTGAAGGACCACTGGGACCAAACACCATCACTTCTGTCTTCATTGAAATCCAAGATATTTAGTGCCATCCCGGTCTTGATTTATTCGCAAAGGTAGTTTTTAAAGGCTTGACGGAAGGATGTTTAATACAACTTTTTTTTTTTCTGACCAATATGATTATTCCCTCTTGAGGACTCACTGCCACTGAATAGTTATTTTGAGTACTTTTGGGTACAATGAATAAAATACCTTTTTTTTTCCTGACACAGATGATTTGCCACTGTGTCAGTCTACCGTGGTGTAGCGCCACCTACTGCCAGGGAGAACTTACTCATTGTCAGATTTTTTTTTTCTTTTGCTTTCAGTATCGGTGACTTGGTATCGACAGCCAGAATGAGTACCCGATACCGTAAAAGAAGGTAATGGTATTCATACTCGTCCATCCCTCGTTTTATGATAGCAATCGCAAATTACCTGTTGGTGAGGGGGGGGAAATAGGCAAAACACAGCTAGGGAAAGCCATGGGCTATATAAAGTGGCCAAACAAGTTCCGCAGGTATTGGGCTCAATCCGTGTTACGTAAAGCACTAACTTGCTTGCATGCGCAAACAATGCAAACGTCAAGTAAAACGAGCTGCAGCTAGCTAAAGATGAGGGAGGGACCAGCTCTCAAAACAATGCTAATAGAAGCTCCTATTTCACTGAAATGTTATTAACTGCGCTATTTTGACTTAGAAGTTGGACGTTGGCGCAAAGATGCAATGTTACTTCCACCACCCAAATGTGTGCAACCTAAAATGTCATTAATTATAGAAGGATTAGCAGCGTGTGGCGTGAAATATGAGCCCGCCAGTCATCAGATTAAAGGTTGTTTTAATGACTAGGAACTCCGTCAAAATTGGATTTGTCTGAAATGGAAAAATTGGCATTAGGATGTTTCCTTTTACCCGGCTTCACTTTTCATTTTCGAAACCATCGACCTGTAGCGCCGCACTTTCAGGTTTGTCGATGAACCGATTTGGAAGTCAGTTTTCTCTCGGCGATCGTGTCAGGATGTGTCACACGCTTTGTCGCCTCTCAACAACCTTCAGCTTGACGAGCAGGACATGTTGTGAAGGTCTGAGTCGGCGTGAGGGCCAACGCAAAATGTTTCCCTCTTCCCGCATGCAATGACTTCACAACAAGATTGCCTTTGAATCCCTTTTCAACTCAGATGATGTTGTTTTCAAACTGCCTGTGCACACGTGGAAATGGCATTTGTTCGATCTTGTTTGTCTCACATATCACCGCATAATTTGGTGGAGCCATCAAAATGTCGCACAAATCCAAATTGGAAGTTCTTCCATTTTGGTTTTAAACAGCCAAGGTCGTCAGGGAGGGGCGCAGAGTCCAGCCGCTTCTCCCCCACGTCGAGAGGAGCCAGATGAGGTGGCTCAGGCATCTGATTAGGAGGCCTCCTGGACGCCACCCTGGTGAGGTGTTCCGGCGCGGGCATGTCCCACTGGCAGGAGGCCCGGGGGACGACCCAGGGCAAGCTGGAGAGACTATGCCACCCAGCTGGCCTGGAAGGCCTCGGCATTCCCCGGGAAGAACTGGAAGAAGTGGCTGGGGAGAGGGAAGTCTAGGCTTCCCCGCTAAAGCTGCTACCCCCGCGACCCGACCTCGGATAAGCGGTAGAAAATGGATGGATGGATGGATGGAGGTCATTTGACAGGTTGAGGCCAAATTTGAGCAAATGATAACAGAACCGATGGTTGATGCTCGATTGCAAATTTTGCATGTGGCAGAGCATGGTGAAGTTTGACGGCTCGCCGGAAAAGCATAACACTCCCAAGCCAATCTGGTTGACGTTATCCATCATGAGCAGACTCGCCAAGAAGTCTAAAGTACTCATGTCATAAAACAAACGAGGGATTGCGTTTCATTTGAGTTTGAAGCAGCCTTTTGAAGGTCATTTTGCCCATTTCTAGGAATCCTTCAAAAACGGAATCCACTCATAACAAACGCCACGCGTTTTTTTTTTTCTCAATCTTCTCAGGGTTTCACCTCATCCCTCGCCTGCCCGGGATTGTGCCCGAAAGCTGCCTACTGATCCTGGTGGGCCTTTTGGTGGGCGGGCTCATCAAACTGGCCGGCCAGAAGGTGCCACCGGTGCTGGACTCCAACTTGTTCTTCTTCTGCCTGCTGCCGCCCATCATCCTGGATGCTGGGTACTTTTTGCCCATCCGCCCCTTCATGGAGAACCTGGGCACCATTCTGATGTTTGCTGTGGTGGGCACGCTGTGGAACGCCTTCTTCATCGGCGGGCTGCTGTACGCCGTATGCCAGATCCAGCCCAACAATCCGTCGGACCTGCACTCGCTGGAGCTGCTGCCCTGCCTTCTCTTCGGCTCCATCATTTCCGCCGTGGACCCCGTAGCCGTGCTGGCCGTCTTTGAGGAGATTCACATCAACGAGCTGCTGCACATTCTGGTGTTTGGCGAGTCGCTGCTCAACGACGCCGTCACTGTGGTGAGTCATTTCAATTCACGGAGGCTTATTTGGATCTCTGAGGGCCGTCGCCCGCCGAAAGATGCGGCGGAGTGTGCCGCTGCGCACTCGTACAGTGCGCGGGGTTGTCTCCAAAGAGTTCAGACTAGCGAAGTCGCGGCTATTTTTGCGGCGACTTCAGAATTTGAATCGCAGTTGCATGGTGACGTTGCAAATTATCGGCAATGCACAAAATGCACAGAAGCTTTCGTGCGAGTAAACCATGACCAAGGAATAAAAGTATCAGTAATTGACATGACCCACCTATTTCAGTATACTTTCTTGATACCTTCCTTTGGTGTCATCTTGTGGCAAAAATATGCAGAGGCCGGCAAATAGGAGAGTTTTTCGGTGAATAGGCTCCTTAGGGGAGAAAAAAAAAGACAAATGGGGAAGTAAATTACAATCCTTAAAATCAATTTGATGAGAGGCAACTCGATATTTCGTTCTTGTCTTGTAGGTGCTGTACCATCTTTTCGAGGAGTACTCGGGTGTGGGCTCGGTGACGGTGATAGACGGCGTGCTCGGCGTCATCTCCTTCTTCGTGGTGGCGCTGGGCGGGGTCCTGGTGGGCGCCATCTACGGCATCCTGGCGGCGTTCACCTCACGCTTCACTTCGCACACGCGAGTCATCGAGCCTCTCTTTGTCTTCGTGTACAGCTACATGGCCTACTTGTCGGCCGAGATGTTCCACCTGTCGGGCATCATGGCGTAAGTTTGCTTACTGACGTCTCCTGAAGTCCATTGCACATATGACTTACTGTGTATTGCGTAAGGGGGCTGCGTTCACGTCATTCGTGCACTTTTGCAGCCTGTGTGAGTTACTTTGGATAGGTGGCAGCACATAGCATACGCGCTGGCCCAAGTGTTGTGTGCTCTCGTGTCTGTGAAATAGCGCAGCTGTTTCAGGGACTCTCTCGGCGTATCCGCACACATACACATGGATCCTCATCAGTCCCTCGACGGGTCTGATGTCATGCGCCCGATGTGACCGCTACGCCGGCAGGCAAAAAAAACCCCACTTTTTTTTTTCTCCTCCATGCTGGTGATTGGTGTGCGATTTATGCGACATATCGGCCTTCTTGAGAATGTTGCCGCTGTGCGCGTTGTTTACGAACTCCTTTAGCTTAGCAACAGGGAACATAGCATGCGACAAAAGCGGATACTTCTCAGACAGGAGGATTTGGTGAGAATGCAGAAAGCCGCAGGTATGAGATAAAGTCTCCCTGGGCTGTCACGGCTGACGCCCGATGCTTAATTCCGAAGGCGTTCTTATCCTCTCTTCCTCAGTGCACCACCTGGATATGTCACAGCGCCTTTTATGTATTTCAAAAGGGACAGGTGATCAATGTTAATCCCCCGCTTCCTTTCCCTCGCTCAAAAGATGGCGAGCAGCTGCGGAGGCCTATCAGAGGACCCGTTGGTGGATTTTATTTTATTTTTGGCCCCCTGCTTTTGACATACCGCAACGGTAGGCTCAAACGGAGAGCAGCGGAAGGGAACGGGCTTGCGAAATAGCACGTTGTGGAACTCGAGATGGGTAACCGGAGCCCTCGTTTAGGGGCTGAAGCAGCAACACGTGTATTTATGATAGCGGCAGGGGGCGTTCCCCTCCCGTAGAGGAATTACCAGACAACTGGAAGAGGAACATAGATTAATACATACAACCCCCACCCCCCCCCCCCACCCCCCCCCCCCCGCTTTTTTCACCCCTTAGTTCCCTTATCAATTGCAGTCAAATGGCTAAATAAATGGCTAAAATAAACGCCCTTGCCAATCTAAGTTTAGCGCTGCCTGAGCTGTGGCTGCTGCTGTATTATACTCTAACCCTGTTTTCTTGCTGCCCTCATTCTCTTCTCGGATAACGTATTTGTTGAAGCAGGTTCATCATTGCCGGGTCATTGTAACATGTGAAGATAAACAGGAAGAGCAACAAAAAAGAAAAAGAAAATAGCTTCGCTTTGCCTAAACTTCCGTAGATTCTCCACAGTCCCCACTTAGACTGCAGCGCTCCATTTTATTGCCGCTCTCAGTCTGCAATGGTTCTTCGGCGCATCAACCTGACTTTTGAAACTAGTTAAACGGTTAGAAATGATAACCACACACTGTGGTGTGTTAGCTAATTTCTTCCTTAACTCTGAATTCTGATCCTCCGCCGTCAACATGCTGCGCCGCTCACCCTCTCCGTTTGTCTTGGCCATCGTGCGGTGGGAAAGGAGCGATATTATTGGTTGTGGATGACTTTTGAATGACGCTCCCCTGCCTCCAGGTTGATAGCGTGCGGCGCGGTGATGCGGCCGTACGTGGAGGCCAACATCTCCCACAAGTCGCACACCACCATCAAGTACTTCCTGAAGATGTGGAGCAGCGTGAGCGAGACGCTGATCTTTATCTTCCTGGGCGTGGCCACCGTGGACGGCCAGCACAACTGGAACTGGACCTTTGTCACTGTCACCGTTGTCCTGTGCCTGGTGGCGCGGGTCATCGGTAGGTCGGCATTTCATTGTTTGAACGGGGACAGATTATGGAGAGTAGACTATCTTCTACTAGGTTGGATACACGAGTTGAAGTGCCTGCCCAGTGGCCATTCACCAAGTTTCAAAGTAGCTCTTTGGTTATCTGCCAATTTCTGAAAATGAATTGAGACGTCGCAGTTCGTCCAACTGACATAAAGTGAGCCATCACTTCCGAGCCGCCGGCAGGGCCAGACTCTGAATACCCTATTTCAAAGCCAACCAAATGTTCAGTGATGCGGTGGGGGTGGAGGCTACTTGTGCAAATGTGCCACCCCCCCCCGGCGAGAATGATGAGTGAGACAGAGCCGCTCCGTCAAAACAGGCTAATTTCGCTGAGTAAACCTCTCCACACACAGTTTCTCCACCTATTACTCAGAAGACATGCTCGGCGACCATTCAGGAGCCACTTGCACGTGACGACTCTTTGAGAAACACTAACATAAAGAAGATATATCTTGGAGAAACATGCATATACACCACTGGTGCTACGCCCTTGCTATCATGTCAAAACCAAAGGATACGCAGAGCTGCATTTAGTTTTGTTGGCTGCATAGATGAGCATTCGCGAACAACGTTAGCTTCATATTTATGGCACATAAGTGTTCCATCCCACAACTTGGCAGTTCAGTTGGGCGAAGTTCCAGAGCCACCTTGAAGCAACTACTCTGTCTGAAACATGATCGTGCAGACTTTGCAGAGGAATGTGTGTCAACAGCGTTGGCTTCTAACAACAGCGGCGGATACTTGCTCAGGGACGAGGTTGACATGCGTGCGGACTTATTTGCAATTGGCGATGTGTTTGTGGACCACATACAGAGAGCTTGGTTTATAAAGTGCTGCTTTTATTGTGTTAATACACAGAAACATGTTTTTACCCTCCGGGCTTGGCTCTCGCAAGTACGAGTCATTGTCATCACAGCTCCGCCCCTGCTCGTCAGGGTAATGAATTCATTCCAGACTGGCCGTTGGGGCAGCAATGAAGGGGCCAGGGAATGCAGTCACTCGCTGATGAATGGGCTCATTTCAACAAAACAAGAAAGAGGGGGTGTCATGCAATTCTTGATCTTGACGGCATTGGGACATAAGCACGCCCCGTGTCTTAAGACACCTCGAAGCTGTTTTAAATTGCGAAAAGTGTTTCCTTTTGAAGTTCTTGCGGAACCACGCCGAGGGAGCCCTCCATCCCGTTTCTGCTGTTTGGATACAGGCGGAAGGGAGATGAATGTGCGTGAGCCTATGTGGTAATGAGGTGCTAAAATGCTTCATTATGCCACTCCGCGGATGTCACTGCGAGCCTTGTGGAGTATTTCCTCGGCAACTCGGGTTGCCGTCCTTCCTTTTGGCAGAGGGTTCAGGAGGCGGGAAGTAGACGCGTGATTAAGCGTGTTGCATCACGCCGTCGTATGTTTCCTGGCTGACAACAGAGTGACTCAGTCATTTCGCTGAGTCATTGGCTTGCTCGGGTGGTAAAATAGCAGCTTTGACTTTTCATTGTGTTGCAAAGACGCATTCAAAACATCATTGTGCGGTGTTATATGGCTTCTCACTTAGGAGCACCCGACATTTCCCTTATTTTTTCACCTCCACCAAACACAAACAGCCCCAGGCAAGTCATGCGAAATGTAATGTTTGAGTTCAACAACTGCAAATATCATAGGCGGCACTCACTTTTTTTAATGCCCATCATTGCCACCTACTGATCTGGAGCGATAAATTCTCTCCTCTATCCTGGCTGTATGGGCACAAAACGAGGTACCGGTCCGTGACAATGCATTCGTTATTTTTAGTACCTGGTCAGCCGGTGCTTCAAAGTTTCCACAGTCTCCGCTTTGCTACTTGGTACCCGAGCCCCGGACGCTGCAGTGTGATACTCGACAGCTACTTTTCTGCCCTCAGTGAAAGAAAGAAATTGTAGTTGAGCCCATTCATCGCTGCAACATTTGAACGGACACAGCGAGAAATGACAAAACCCCCACTTATGGCAACGTTAGCTTAGCAGCGCCTTAGCGTTGCACTACAAGACTGACTTACAGAACCGAGCTCTTCTTCATATGTAGGTTGCGCCAATTTTTCCTGGCCATGCCATTGGAGCATCTGAAGATCCATGACTAAAAGTTAAAAAAAACGCTAACATGATCATTCTCGTGTTTGTCTGGTAGGCGTGGTGGGCCTGACTTACGTCATCAACAAGTTCCGCATCGTCAAACTGACCACCAAGGACCAGTTTATCGTGGCCTACGGCGGCCTGCGCGGCGCCATTGCCTTCTCCTTGGGCTTCCTGCTGGACAAGAGACACTTCCCTCTGAGGAACATGTTCCTCACCGCCATCATCATCGTCATCTTCTTCACCGTCTTTGTGCAGGTAATCATGAAAATGCGTCGTTCATCGTGACCGCTAAACTGTGCTGAGATTGGAGCCTTTGGGACAAAATGAACAAATCTTCAATCCAAATCCAAACAAACAAGCAAGGTTAACGCCCCCGCTTTAGATGTTGCTTAGGAGGCAACTTGAAACGGATTCCTTTTAGCAGTTGCGGATTTACTGCCTTACTCTATCTGGAAGTTTACATTCCTGACTTGTTATTGCGGAAAAAAATGCAGAGATTTAATATCCTCTCCATGTGAGTGCAACTTCCTTTGGAGGAGGCACTGTTAATGACAGTTCTTATCCGCTCCAGGCGCTTTCACTTAACCTGGCGGCCAGTTTAATCAGCTCACAGAGGTGACGGCAAGCAGCGTACGAACGACATCTAAATGGCTCCATCCGTCTCTTTGATAGACAAAATGATGGCGCTGGGCGAACCGATCTTAGTTTGCTGCAGTTTTTGTTTGTGGGGGGGGAAAAAAAGGGTAATATTTTTTTGCTTGGTGCTTGTCTCAGGGCATGACCATCAAGCCTCTGGTGGATCTGCTGGCCGTGAAGAAGAAACAAGAGGCGAAGCGCTCCATCAATGAGGAAATCCACACTCAGGTTCATCTACAGTCATTGCTTCTTTGTATTAACATGAATGTGTAGTCCGTGCCTGCCCAGCCGGGTAAGGCTCAGTGAACCCAGACGGTGAGATTATGTTCCTTATCGGGATGGACTAACGTAAGCGTCCTGGCCAGTCCATCGAAAATGGTGTACTTTTTCATCGTGCTCTTAGAAAAAGACATTTTTACACCAATCAGTAGTGTCACTGAGTTTGAACCACAGCTTGAAAGAACATAGATAGATAGATAGATGCCATCGTAGATACATGTGCGTGCGTGCGTGCGCGCGGGGGAACAGGTCGATCGCGGGGCGTTGGCTGTTTGAAAAGTAGACCTTTGGTCCAAAAAGGTTGGGCACCACAGTTTAAGAGTATTCCAACTTTCTTCCACATTCTGAAAACGTGCATGTTGGCGTCATTGCTGACTTGTCATTGCTGACTCGAAACTATTTTTGCGCCTATGGCCCGAGAATTGCCCCTGAAAACAGCTGGGATAAGCTGGATCGGCTCCAATTAAGATGGATGGCTGTAAAATGTAATTAGAACTGCCCTTGATAGGAAAAAACAAAAAAAAAAAAACAGGGTCCCTGGTTTATGTTAACACATTTAGATCACTGCTTCCACCTACAGGTCATTTGGTGGTACTTCATTTGCCTATGGCTAACATGTTTCAGGAAAAATATTCCATCCAGGTGTGTTTCGTGTGTTTCTTGTATAATATCACCTGTATGTACACACACACACACACACACACACACACACATTTACGATGAGTCACCAGTGATTCGCTTCAACTCAACAGCAGGTTTTCTCCCGCTTCTAAAAGAGAGCCACACTGGTGGAATGCAATAATTGTGTATAATAATAATTCGGTGTTTGCAAAACAAAAATTCCATCTTCCAGAGAGCTTCCACTTTTTCGTCAGTGTGAGTGCTTACACTGCAGAGAGATCCATATACAAAGACGAGACATCACTGGCGTCTCTCGGCGACTGATGGCAATTCCCGTTTTGACCTTTTTTGTAGCCAAGGCAACAGTCCGAGCCACAAGCTGAGCAACAACTGTGCGCGCGCCCTCCTCGTGGGAATTGGTCAACTGTCGCAGACAATGCCACTTTTGTGTATTCACTCTGAAGATTAAGTTGCCATGATTGCGTCCTCTGTTCCAAATCAGGAACCGCATAAGATACTCGATACACATGCTTTTGAGTTTTTGGTTTTTCAGGCTCGTTTCTCCTCTCTCGCTCTCGCTCTCTCAATTGCCAATGTCAATCACAGAAGTCTCCCTGTTATTTGCCTGCTGAGACTAACGAGCTGAAAATGACGAGAACGTTCCATACGATTGAGCGAGTCAGTTTGAAGGAAAAAGATCGGTTGCAAACGGTGCAAATTTCCATCGCAATTTGTTCTCTTCGTCACGCGTCTGTCTGGGTTTCTTGGCTCACAGTTCCTTGACCACCTCCTGACCGGCATTGAAGACATCTGTGGACATTATGGACATCATCACTGGAAGGACAAGTATGCTTTGGATTCCCTTTGCATGCATTCCAATGGGAGGTGCACGTTGACAAGTTTCGGCCTCCCTTTCGCTCTCCTTCCAGGCTGAACCGCTTTAACAAGAAGTATGTGAAGAAGTGCCTGATCGCGGGCGAGCGCTCCAAGGAGCCGCAGCTCATCGCCTTCTACCACAAGCTGGAGATGAAGCACGCCATTGAGCTGGTGGAGAGCGGAGGCGGCGCCAAACTTTCCTCTGCCATACCTTCCACCGTCTCCATGCAGTAAGTACAAAGCCATTGCGCATTGATCAGGCGCAACCCTGGAAAGTTAAGGGGTAAGGGGGGGGTTGGCACCAAATTGCCTGCCATGTCTGCGGCATCTGAGCAGGTTGAAGTTGCGCGAGGGCCTTCATTTAGACAAAAGTAGGGCTTTGTGTGTGTACTTTTGGTCCAGTGATGTGCTGTCGTTGTCATTTCCTGTCAAATATGCGTGTCGGCTCAGTAAAGGTTGGGAAACGCTGACCTCGACAGCCGGATGAAGTTCAGTTGGGAAGCATTTGCGCCTCTGCCATTTGATGCCGGCGTTGGATAAAAATTCTCGGAAAGTGTGAAAGGCTTTGCATCTGACACCCGTTTCCTCAGTCGTCACAAATCTGAATGGATGGTACGCCTGTCATAAGAGGACACACAAAAACGTTTCAAGGGCACAAGAAAGTGAACAAGATGCCATCCATCCACTGGGGTCTGAAGCAGCCACTTTGGTGGGATTCCGGGGTCCATTCATCCAAATGAGGCCCCTTCCAATTCAAGTGTCTTTGATGATTGGATCATGGTAAATAACACCCCCCCTCACTCCCTCGACAATCCAAAGCGGCTTCAAAGTTTACATCCACAAGTGTGGCAAAGACAACCAGACGAACGTCATTCGGCGGTGATCAAAATCAAAGACTCAAACAACCGACCGAGTTGTTTCGTCTTTGAGTGCCGTCACAGCCGCCGCGGTCCGCAAAGCAGTACGACTGCGCCGCCGCCAATTCCAAATAAAGTAGCACATTGCTCCCCAGCTGTTCTTTGCGAGCAGTTGAGTGATTTCTCACCGAATGAACATTAAAAAGTGGAACGGAAGCGAGACCGCTCATCTTTTTCGCCGCAATCGATAACACAAGATTCTCTGTGGGCAAAAGTGAAAATGATGAGCTGCCGGTCCAAGTGGGATGGTCGTGTCCGACTTGTGTTTGTGCCCCACTTCCATCCCAGAAACATCCAGCCCAAGAAGCCGGCGCCCGCCAAGCCTGAGGATCGCGTTCTGCCTAAGCTCTCGAAAAGTCGGGAGGAAGAGATCCGCAAGATTCTGCGGAGCAACCTTCAGAAGACGCGGCAGAGGGTAACGGACGCTCTCACCGGCTCATGATCTGTCCTCGAAGACTGAATGTCTTGCTCCCGCCGCTACGTACCGATCCGACACGGGTCGGAGCAGCGTGCTTGAAGACAAATCTGAACTTTTCTCTTCCTCCCCGTGGTGTTCTCAGCTGCGTTCCTACAACCGCCACACCCTGCTGGCTGATCCCTATGAGGACAACTTTGGCGAATTCCTCCTCAAGAAGCAGAAGATGATGGCCCTGGATAAGAAGGTATGTTTTTTTTTTTTTTTTTTTTTTTTTTTAATGGGCTTTCCAGAACTCCAACCTTCACCTCCAACGTGAATAGATGAGATGTTCAGCCAATAACGGGGTCGAGATTCCACCTCCCAATCATTGGTGGCTCTGCAAATTCCAAAATACCGATCTACGACTACACTACGTATAGGACAGTGAAAATGCTGCCTTTTCCAGACGGCTAAAAGCGACTTCCATCGTAGTGACTGCTACCTCTCAACCATTTCAACTGATTTGGTTAAAGTTGGATGGTGACAGAAAGCCCTGCAATGAGCACCGCGTGTCCTTTCCCAGATCCAAGACATGAATAACTACCTGACGGTGCCCGCCGCTCCTCCCGACTCACCCACCCTGTGCAGAGCCAGACTGGCCTCAGGTAAAGACATCCCAGCACAAGCACTCCTGCTTTACTGCGCTGATGCACACAAGCAGGGAGCACACACCCCCACACCCCCACAGCCCTTTTGTTTGTGTTATGTTCACGCCGCAGTGTCATTTGTAATGCCCGCCACGACAGCAGGCATGTCCAGCTCCTCGCGGGCCGCTGCGCTGCCCGTTGCAACACACCCGATTCAAGCGATTGACTCATCGGCGAGCTCTGAAGAAGCACGAGAACGATCGTCATCATTTGAATCAGGCGTGTTGCAACAGGGCGCGGTGGGAAGAAGGCAGGACAGCGGGCCGCGAGGACCCGCTTTGGACACCCCTGCTCTACAGCCTGAGATTCCACTGGAGTTCTTTACCCCCCACACCCCCTCCGCTGATGGACGTCTGTTTGCGTGTGACGGCCGCCATGTCAACCAGTGTGGTTTCGTTTTTAGGCAGAGAAACTGATTTCAATCCCACTCGGCAGCAGAAAGCGGACACTGTCGGTCCAGGTATGTGGCCAGAGGAGTGAAGATGAGAACCGCTCCTTGACCCAACTAGTCACCATCACCGGAGCGCTAACACGCATGCCTCACACAAGCTGCTAGTTACCAACCCAACTGAGTTCATAATTTAAAATGATCCCGATTCACAATCCCTGCATTTTTTTTTTTTTTTTGACCTGATGTTTGTCCGATACAGAGAATGTGTTCATCCTGTGTGCGCATGCAAATGGAATAATGGAATGACTGTGTCCCCCCCTCCCACACACACACGAGGTTTCAAAATAAAATCAAAAGTAAATCTTTGGCCACACAAATGTCACGAGTTCACAAGGATGAAGTGCTTGCCAGAGCGACGGGTCCAAAAAGCCTTTTAGCCAATCGGCTGCAAAAAAAAGTGATGGAACAGCAGCATTAAAATGAAATTCATCCTGAATACAGTTATTTACACAGTTGAAAGAGACACGTTTTTAGAGTGAAACCGTTAAATACTACAAGCACAAGTCGAGGTACCTCTGAACATGCTTTTTTTTTTCTTCCTTTTTTAAAATCTGACTTGGATATGAAACATGAAAGAAAAAATGCCAGCAGGATTTAAAAGCAAAACGAAAAAATATTTGCTCCACAAAAACAAAGAAAACAGTCACAGACAGACTACACGCAATGCAGTCAACAAAACGTTTTTCTGAACAAAGTAATTGGAGATGCGTTTTATTTTCCAACCCCAATACTACACTTTCGATATGTGAAATAATTTACTGAAGCAGATCGTGATGCGCTTTAGTTTAAAAAAAAACAAACAACCGCTTTTTGGATGGATCCCCGAAAGATTAAAAAGTGCTGAAAGATGCCTTGGAAAACAAAACCAAAAAAAATCTCCTGTTTGTGTGGACATGCTGTGAGAAATGGCGCCCCCACCTGCCAATGTTTGTTTGCTGTTTTAACACCCCCGGCACCCTTGCAGACCCTCAAGCCTACAGCATGAAGCCAGCGTTGGACAGCGTTCCCACCATCCAAGTGGACCTGGCCTCCCCGCAGTCGCCCGACTCAGTCAACATCTTAGACGAGTTCCAGCGGTCCGAACAGGCGGCGGCGGCGGAGGAGGGCGAGGACGACGGCGGTCTGATGATGAAAGCGCCCACCAGACCCCACGAGCGCTGCAACGCGGGCGAAATGGACGCCGGCACCAGAGAGAAGCTGTCGAGGTGCCTGAGTGACCCCGGGCCCCACGCGGAGGACGAAGACGAGGACGAACCCTTCCTGCCTTAAACAAAGTTCACGTTGGAGGAAGGTGCGTGCTTCAGTGCTCAAGACGATTAGCCAAAAACTGTGAGCAGCAACAAAAAAAAAAAAAAAAAATAGCCATTTGTCCGTTTGTCGTCATCGCTCTGTACTTTGAAGAGCCGCAACCACGGTTACGAGACATTCAGGAATGAACTATGCATTACCAAAGGAACTGTTTGTAGTCCTTCGAGATTCTATTGACGTTTTGTGTGTCATACGTGAGACGGCGGGATTCTCCGGTGCGACAGTGAATCAGTTGCTCCCGAAACGAAGCCAACCGCACTCATCGGGTCACTTGAAATCCCACGGTGGAGGAGCTTTGAACGCATAGTTTTGCCTTATTTTATGTCACACTGTGCATTTATTTTATTTTTTTTAAATCAGCACTGCCTTTTAATTTCAGGGATTCCCAAATCGGTACGAAGGAGTATTACAGGCACACTATCAAGATATATCTACTATGAGAATTAAAAAAAAAAAAAAAAAATCTGTAAAAGAAATTTACATTACGATGAAAGTTGTTTTGCGGGAGGGAAAGGGAACAAACCTGCCGCGATCGCAAAAATCGACGACAGTCGAGGAACAGAACGACTCTGTACATTACGACCGTAGTTTGTTGTTGGCATTTCCAGTAAAATGGCCGCCAACTACGATGTGTCATGCAGTTTAAACATTGATAGATGGAAAAACATGACCATTTAAGACAGTGTAAAGATGTCGATTGTATACGAAGAAAAACTCTGAAAATAGTCGGTCAGCAAATGTTACTCGCCAGAGGCACGCCACTGCGGCCGACGAAGCCAACTGCCACCCATTCATATTCTTATTAGAATCATAGTAATAAGTTGCCAATGATGGTGACGCAGGACGAGAAGAACTGCAACATGCAAAGTCGATCCATCCGCGCTTTCACGCCAAGACCTTTCGGATATCCAAAACCGGACGTAAACGGGAGTCCTTTTTCCTTCCCAAATTTTGCCTCATTCGAATTGCACATCAAGGGGGTGCTCCTAACTCGAGGGTCCTCTGTAAGCGCATCGAGATGTCACAAGATGGCAGCAAAGCACTTAGTCGAGACCGTAAAGCACTCATAAGATAAGATAACCTTTATTTGTCCCACACTGGGGAAATTTGTAGTCTACAGCAGCAAGATTGGGGGGGGGGATAAAGTGTTTCATTGCACAAAATAAATGTTTCAGAAAAGAACTGTACACAGTTCAATATCAGTGCAATATAAAATAAAGCATTCGCAATATATTTGTTGAATAAATATAATAAATAATAAATAGCAATAGCATAGAAAACACAGCGTAAGGTGGCTGTGCTATTTACAATGGTTCCAGGTTTTAACGCATGTTTATTCAGCAGCCTGACAGCAGTCGGTCGGAACGAGCGACGGTATCTCTCCTTCTTGCAGCGCGGGTGGAACAGTCTCTGGCTGAAGGAGCGACCCAGTGCTGTCAGGGCGGGCTGGAAGGGATGGGAGGGACTGTCCATCCTAACTTTTAGTTTAGCGAGCATCCTCCTGTTGCCCACCTCCTCCAGAGGGTCCAGGGAGCAGCCCAGGACAGAACTGGCTCTCGTGAACCCACGTTACATAAATAACTGTCATTGACAAGTTGCGTTGTTCCAAATGCAGCTGTTGTGAACGCGCCACCTAAATGCAGATGGATGGGATTGTTTTGCGTCACAAAACTTCATCTCAAAAGTTGACGCTCAATGAATTGAATTGATAAACAGCAGGATTCCACTAGAGGGCGCCAAAGTAACTTGCTTTGCTTTGGACCGAGCGCAGATGGAGCCAAGCCATGATTTCAGAGACTAACTGCGGCTTGTTTTCAAAAACCAAATGCTACTTTGTCAATGCCCGTTTTCGCGCATTTGCAAATTTCAACTCACACTTTGAGGAAAACATGGTACGATCTCAATCCGTATTCGTTTGAGTGTGGCCTTAAAATTCCTTCGGCCTTGATGGGATATAATTTCACAAAGGTGGACATTTTCTTTTTCTTGTTTTATTTTTTTTATCGAGTTGTTGCATTGGTAAACTCCTTACTTTCTGAATTAAGACGACGAATGTTATATCATCATCCATCGTGATTTTTTTTTTCCGACAGTTTATTGTTGTTAAATGTCTGTAATTAATGTTGAAAGTAGCTCCCTTTAAAAGTCACTCCAGCAAAGCTAAACAATCAACGCTGGCTGTCTTAAAAATGTACAGGCACCTTTGTCTTGCTCTCGCCCCTTCATCACTGCGCAATCAGGATGATTTGGATGGGAGTCCGTGCTGCCAAGGGTTGTCCCCATTGCATGGCTTTAAAAAAAAAAAAAAAAAAAAGGAATAGAGTTCTATGAAGCGTCAAGGGGCAGACAAAGTTTGAGGAAAAACATTGTCAATGAATTTTATTTCTGAACCCTTTAAGATGACATCAAGATGCAGAATGCTGCGGCGAACTAATATCAGAGTGGCAGTCATGATTGCAAGTTTACTTTATGTCAAAAATGACACTCCCGGGGGACGCTCCGGGAAAGTATAGGCCAAATGTTGCAAAAGCAGCCAAAAGGCTGTCATTTGATAAGAATGCTTAGGACGTTCTCACCATGACGAAATCTTTGGAGCATTGAGGCTTCCTCTTGAAACTATTATTGATTGATGTTGTGAATTCTTTTTTTTTCACCCACAAATTTTATTTTGTAAATTTCCTTGGGTAAAATTTTGACACTGCAGTCATGAGAATTTAAACGTTATCCTCATAACAATATGACTTCGCGAGAGAGAAAATGAAGTTCTTGAAACGTTGCAACTTTATTCTTGTAAAGCCCCCCCCCCCCAAAATACAGTATATATATTTATTTTACGATTTGGTTCCTGCAACAGTATCATCGTAATTTGGAGGTAATTCAGATTTTACCGACAACTTTACTCTCTGAACAATCTCTGAGCATGACAACTTTTAAAAAATATGACCGCTTCGAAATAGATGCACTTTTGTCAGATGTGTAACCCGAAATATTGGTTGACATTGCAAATGCTCACCTTTCCACATCCTATCAACCCGCTGTCAACACATGCAAGTCCTCGTATGTTTGTTTTCCTCTTTGGAGATTTTTCCAAAGAGTCTTGAGTTTACGATGACAAAACCGATCTCTTGGTGGCAAAAACTGTCCGGTCCAGACCACCATTTTCTGCCAACGTGCAAACGTTGGGCTTTGAAATTTGTACGCGAGCTAGCGCGTGCGCAGAGCAAGATATTTGATCCGCCAACATTGTGGCGAGATACGACGGCCTTTTTTTCAGCTTGAAGGGATGTGGACTTCATTCGGGACCTCACCAGCATTTCACCGCTGCGTTCGCTCTGTGTGCTTTTGAATGAGTTGCCTTTTGATTCATGGAGTGTCTTTCATGGACGTATCAGCCGCTTGAGTACATGCGACGATCAATCCGACGTCCGAGTGCGCTGTCATAATGCATCCGATGTGCTTTGCATCTCATGTTTACATTGCTGCAGAGGCTTCATTTCTTGTGTTGAATTTGACCTCGGATCCGTTGGGGATGCTATCCAACCGCTAGTTCCTTGTCCTCGGAAGCTTCCTTTCATGGACATCGACGTTCCAATTTTCAACTGGATCCCTGTCACGTCGTTTTATCTCGATGTTATTTCATTGTCTGTTTTAATCCAAATCTCACAACATTATTCTGGTACGATTGCAGTTTTATTCCTGTCATTTATTATGTGTACCCCCCCCCCCCCAGCCTTTTTCTTTGAGACCATGTGAAAAGAAACCAAAGCCAGGGGGAAGCAAGCTAAGTTCACGAGACCATTCGGACCAGAGAAAGCCAAATATGTTGGAGTTGCCTCATATCTGACAAATGTATTTCGAGAAACGTATGGTCGCTTTTCCATGCAGTCTGACTTGACCCACCCAAAGACTTTGGACATTTTTTGCTTTCCTCAAGTTACCTCGCAGCGCTCGCCACAATGCGTCCTTTTGCTCCCGCTTGTACTGTTTAACAATGCCACCATGAGCACTTGGACGCCACAAAAAGAACCTTTATCTCCAAACGAGCAATAAGTCGCTTTCCTATGTTCACTTCATGACAGGTCGTAAAATCCCAGATGGCTTTAGCGGGAGCTCCCACACCACCACATCTAGGACAGCTACTCTCGAGTCTTTTACGATATACCGTACTTCACTACTAATCTTGATCTTCAGAGGTTGCTTTGTCACCATTTCCTGTGTGAAAGTTATTTTTGATATACTTTAATGGGAAAATGTACATATACAAAGATATATTGGATGTATCAGAAATGTATGATGCAAATGTGCTATATATATATATATATAAAATTTATATAATATCAATCTCAAGCATGTACCTCCACGATGATTCGTCTCAAAGCTTTCAGCATTCCATTCCTATAACAAATCATCAACATCAACCAAACTCACGACCTAACAAAGTATCTACCAAAATAAAGGTTTACTTTCTAACCCTGGAGTCACCGTGTCCCTCATTTTACGTTTGCGTCGTGATTGTCCAACGCAGACGAAAAAAAGAAAAATCGACTCTGCTCTAGCTGCTTTGTTTTCCTACATTCCAATTTTCTTTTTGTCCATCCATCCATTTTCTGAACCGCTTTCTCCTCACAAGGGTCATGGGGCGTGCTGGAGCCTCTTCCAGCCGTCTTCGGGCAGTAGGGGAGGGACACCCTGAACCGGTTGCCAGCCAATCACAGGGCACACATCGAGACGAACAACCATACGCGCTCATGCTCACACGTAGGGACAATTTGGAGTGTTCAGTCAGCCTTCCCACGTCAACATGAGCAGTTTGAGTCGCTAATAGCTCGCCGGCGGCAACCGGAGGAAAGCAGCAATCCATCGCGTCCTCTTTTGATCAGTCACCTTTCAAGTAGCAATGATGCTAACGCCGTATGTCGGATCGCAACTTACAAATGATTATATTTACATCATAAGGCATAATTATTATTCCTGAGTGGTCCATTTCTCAATAGTTCTCTTTTATTTTATTCAACGTTTGTTGTACAATAGAATAACACTGTGTAAAATGAATGGAAAAAAGTGACTATAATTTGTTGTCCCAAAAAGGTTGGGGAATAACACTGTGTAAAATGAATGGAAAAAAGTGACTCTATAATTACCTTTGTTGTCCCAAAAAGGTTGGGCAGCACTGTTCCGGTGGTCACCGACGTGGTGCCCGCGGGCACTTGGTAGCTGCCAAGGACCACATGAGTAGCCCAATGATGGCAGATTCTTTTCTGGGAATGTTGAAGCGATCGTTTGAAAATGTAAAGCCTGTTTTGTTTTTTGTGGTGTGCAATATTCGGAATTGTTATGCCTTGTTTAAATGTTTTATCAGTGCTGCCAAAAGAGCTTAGTGAGGAGAAGGCTTCGCTTCGTGTCTAATTCCAAGTCACACTGACTTGTTTTGTGTTGGCTGACTTTCCACGAAAGTAAGATTGTTTGCCGCGGACAGATATGATGACGCCTCACAATGTAGAAGATGCAACGAACGATGTTGTATTTATGACGTTGTATTTATTCCTTTGGATCCAGCGGCCTTCTTTCTGGGTGGCCTATCCAAGCGTTCATGAGCTGGATTTTCTCTCTCCCTCTCTCAGCCGCTTCAAGTCATCGGTGACTGGATTCTCCAACGTCATCAGCGCTGCTATCTCGTCTTTGCTTTTAAGAATCCCAGGGCCGACGATAAAAAGGCCCGCATGCCGACACCGCGGGGCAGTAAAATGGACTCTTCGTTCTTTGGCTCGCAATTAAAAAGGATTTGAAAGCGTCGCAGGAGAGAGCGGTTGTTTCCTTTGCCCGCAAATGCCTAAATAGGCCTGCAGATGGCGCTGTGCACCTGCAGTCCAAAACAGCCTCCTGCATGGAGTGACTCGGAGGCCTCAAAGCAAAGGGCCGTCGTTCGCCTGCTTGTGTGTGTGTGTGTGTGTGTGTGTGTGTGTGTGTGTGTGTGTGTGTGTGTGTGTGTGTGTGTGTGTGTGTGTGTGTGTGTGGCCTCCAATTGCATTGTTTAACGGCCCGTTTGCTGTTTGCACGTACTCTCATTTACATGCACCCTGGAATCCTTGAATGTGCGCCACTAATTGATGCCTCTTCAGCCGAGTGGTCGAAAGTACCGAAAACGATATTTTTCCTGTTTCAATTCTCTGCTTTCCAAAATGCACTGAGAGATAGGACGAGGGCGCCACATAGAGGACAACCTATGCCAACTGCTTGGTACCTGAAAGAGGTACTTGGGTAAAAGTACAAGCATCCGATTCCGAACAGAAAATAGCTTCTTACTTTTCCTCTTGGCTTTCAAAACTGCTGATGGTGCCATCGAATTGTACGCTCGCCTGACTTGTGTGCGGGCAGCGTGGGATCGGTTCCCACTCAGTGACGGTGTGAAGGGTTGTTCGTCTCTGTGTGTGTCCTACAGCAGACTGGCGACCAGTTTAGGGGTGTCGTCCGCCTTCCGCCCGAAGACAGCTGGGATAGGCTGCGGCACCCCCATGCGACCCTGTTCAGGGTGACCGGTGAGGAAAATGAATGGATGGATGGTTTCACAACGATTGTAACTTAATAAGCTCCAGTAATATTTGTTATTTTATGCAGAGGATAAAGAATGTATGCCTGTGGGAATTGTCGGTCTGCGTGTGTTGATGCACTCTTTTCATTCAGACACGCTGCCTCGTAGATGCTATTTTGTGAGCTCATCTATGGCATTTCCTATTGTGTACGCAGACGCAAGAAATCAAATACTGATTATTTTAGTGTACAGTATCTTCGGAATTTCATTGCAAAAGTACAATTCAATGATCTGTTTAACTTGAAGGACGTAGTTGATTTTAGCAGAGGTGGCCAGCTTCCTGACAAAATATTTAGGCAAAAAAAAGAATTCAACCATCCGAAGGTTGTCAGGATCATGAGGTATTTTTGAAATGTTACTGTACAGATATCCCCCAAAAATTGAGAACCCCTGCACCAAAGTCTTGAACGGATACACCTGTTTGCTGCTATGATCATCCTACAGGAAGTGAAAAAGCAGAAGTGAAAAAAAACTCACAATTATCATGTCATGTGCACCTGACGGTGACAAAAACAATTTGTTGCGTGTCTTTGATACAGTCAATCCGACATTATTAGAGAGTGACCAAGGGTCTGTGGGCCCCACCGCGGTTGCTGTTGTTCAAACCAACTGCGATCCTCCAAAATGTCCCAGGATTAAATTGGGCTCCCAACATCTCTGACTGGAGCTTTTATTTCCAGGAAGAACTCGACGTGCCTGGAAGCCCAACTGCGGGCCTTTTCAAAAGACTTCAGCACACACGGACGCAGCCAAATCTGTCAATAAATAACAACAGCAAATAGATGCCGGTGCCCTCATGGGGGATGCGGGGGGCTCTCAATGAAGTCAAACAAGCGTATTTATTCTCGTTCATTTTTGAGTGCTTTCCATCCTTGTGACCTGCTGAAGGCTGTGTGACTAATGGCATTACACAAATGTGACATAATGAAGAATTGTTTCGAGGAAGCAAGTCAGACAGTCTCGACTGTACGCGCTCACGACGCTCTCTCACTTACACTGAAAAAAAAAGAAGCGGGGTTCATAGAAAGTGCTTTTTTTTTTTGTTTTTAACACGAATCTCAGTGACAACTGGTTTCCAGTACAAACCTGTTTGGAATCCATCTGTTTTCCGATCCGCTTCATCCTCCGCAGGGTTCTGGGCATGCCGCAGCCTATCCTAGCCATCCTCATGTGCGAGGAAGCCAGAGTACCCGGAGAAAACCCACGCGGAGAAGATACAAACTCCACAAAGGAAGGCCGCAGCCGAAATCGAACCCACGACCTCGACACTGTGAGGCTGACGCGCTAACCAGTTGTCCACCATGCCGCACCATTTTGGAATCCTTTCTGCCAAAATGTTTTTTCAAGCTGCATTCCATATTTATTGTTACCCGTCAGATGCACGTGTTTGCGTCGAGTGGCGCGTTCAAGTCCGCTCAGTTTGGTCGAGAACCGATTTTCGGTTGTAATCCGAGACATAAAAAACCCGAAATTTTTGGTCGAAAACCGATTTGGTCAAGAACAGTGACGTTCGAAAACCGAGATTTGACTGTATTTGTATCGTTCTTCCAGTCGAAAAGAGATGCTCCGGAACCTGAATCAAAGCCACCACCACCACCACCTCCTCTTCTTCCCCCGGCCGTGTTGTGATAAGCCGCCGCGTGAATCCATCAAAGGCATCCGAGCATCCCACTGGATCACCGAGTAAGGGAGGAGTAAGGGTGGGCTCGAAACCCCCCCCCCCTTCCCCCCTCGCTCTCTCTGCCGCACTACCTGAGCTCGTACAGTGCGGTTGCTCCACATCCTCCAAGCGGACCTTCGCGGCGGCACACACGACGCCGGAGAGCCGAGCGAGGCTTGGGCTCGACGGCTACGAGCAGCGGCGCCTCCCCCAGCCTCTTTTCCCGGAGACCCCGCGGTGGCGTTTTGAGATTTTCCCTTTTTTTTTTTTTACTCTCCGCTTTTGTTTTTGGTTGTTCATCGAGTCGGATAACGTAAAAAAAAAAAAACCCCATCGGGCTTTCTTCGGTCATCCCGTCCGTTCCCGACCGCTCGGCCGCGGCGTGCTGACGCCGGAGAAGCGGGGCGAAGAACGGCTCGTTGAGGAGGAGTAGTCAGCCGCCCCCCGCCCCTTTTTTCCGAGCTCGGATGGTACCGCTGCATTCATGTCGTCGTGAAGGGATTATACACCGATCAGGGTTTGTTATTGACAGCCGTGCGCGTGCGCGCATCATGCATCTGCACACAACTTTGGCCACGTCTCCTCTGCTTGTATTTCATTAGAGGGGAAAAAAAAAACAACAACCCGAGAGCGAAGCATGCACCAGAGACGCTGCAGCCCGTCACTAAAGAGAGCCCGGGGCGGCGGACTTGTGTTGCCAGCTCATTGCTAAAAAAGCTCAAGTGTTGCCTGGAAGCCAGGCCTTGTGCACTGCCAACCAGCTGTGTGGGGAGAACCGCCCCCCCCCCCGCACCCATCTGAAAGACCGCCGAACAGAAGAAGGGGAAGCAGTCGTCGTCCCAGATGGTGTTCCGAAAGTTGCCCGGCGTCTCCGCGTCGGGCATGGGCCTTCGTCTGTCACAAAAGTTCGTCTTCTTGCTCTTCTTGTCGGGCCTCGTCACCCTTTGCTTCGGGGCGCTCTTCTTCCTGCCAGACTCGGTGAGGCTGAAGCGCATCTTCCTGAACAAGAGCGAGAGCCAGCCGGCCACGGCGGCGGGTTCAGGTGCGGCGGAAAACGATGCCGACGAGCGCCCCAAGAGATCCCGGGACTTGGAGCACCCGCGAGGTGTGACCTCCGCCAAGGGGGAGAGCGGAGCCGCGGCGGTGGCCGGCGGGACCAGCGCAGGGGGAGCGGGCCCGGCCAGGCTTAAAGGACTCGCTCGGAAGACCCCGCCGTCCTACGAGGCCGCCGAGGAACGTCTGGCCGGTGGAAAAGCGCAGGAGGATCCGCCCTTGGCGTCGGAGAAAGCTTCCTCGCCCGAGTCGGCTGCCGCGTTTGCCTACAAGAAGTTCCGGAGGTGTCTGCTGAAGCCGCCCCTCGGGAGGGACGGCGGCAAGCCTGCGGACCCCAAGACTGAGAAGCGGCGCGACAAAGTCAAAGAGGTGAGAGCCGACGTTTTGAGTTTTCAAGCCTATGGGATGTTTTTTTTTTCTCTCTGTCAACTCTCAAAACAACAAAACGCAAACAGAACTAGTCGTCACATCCCCCGTTGAGGTGTTTTGTGCAATTCGCGGGTCGCAAACTACTTGGAAGTTCTGTCACGCGTCCGATCTTGGAGTTGCCAGAGAACCGACACTGCCGACGATCACAACAGACTGTTGCTCATGTGACCAGCCTCCCAAAGGAAAAATGACCAATACTATTAGTCGTCAAGCTGTTTTTAGAGGGGGACCCATGAAGGTCTGATTCTTAGAAGCGACACTGAATTCTTGCCACCAAATGATCAGAGTTGCTGGCACTCGTGGCCGACCAAATCCCCACATCGCCAAATCAAAAGCGGCAGAATGCCTCCATACCTGATGAGCAGTGGGCGGCAGCCAAGCTTTGGCCGAAGCACCAAGTCCAGAACACTGATAGCTGTTCCGATCAGAGGTTTCGCTTTTTGGCACTCACTCCTCCTGTAGCCCTTTTACCAACAGTTTTCTGCCTTGTATTGGGTCTCCGATACCCTCCAAATGTGATGGGCCTTACATCCCCATCCCTGTCGCCCAAACAACATCTCTTTGGGCAATAAAAAGCCAAGGACGGGTCCCCAGAATTTTCCCTTTGGTTTCCAGTAGATCGGTGTTGATGAGTAACCTTCAAGCTGAAGCGGACCCCTTCCGCACCAGGGTGGGCTTTGGAAACCATACAAAAGGTTCCCCCGCAGCCCAGGGCTAATTACTGGATCTGGACCATACCTCAAGGGACCCCCCCCAAGTGTTCCCGCCTATCATCGGGCCCAGAGAAGCGTACGGGCAGTTTGCGATACTTATCCCCGTGGATTCGATTGGTGTCGATGGTGAACGGGCTGTCACTCGTGGCGCTTTTTGAGCTCGGGCGCTCATAGCGCCTGACGCCGTTCCCTCATTCGGCCGCTGATGACGCGGCATCCGAAGCAACCGAGGCTTCAGTCGGACACTTTGACGTGGTTGCAATGGCCGGCGATCGAACCGCCCCACCGACCTTTGGGCGGGTAAACAACCAGTCGACCGCTGAGTCGCGGCGCCCCGAGGGGCAGAACTCGACCCCGAATGACTCGATATCTGCGCCGAGCGAGCCAGGGCGGGGGGCTGTTTTTTTTTTTTTTTGTTGCCGGAGGGAGGGGGGTGAGGGAGTATTGGCAGGGCGGAGGGAGGGTGCCGGTTTGAGGGCCGCTATTGGCCGGCGTGTAGCCCCGCGACTCGGATAAAAGTCGTCTTTCTCCGCCTGACGCCCCCTCCCGTCGCGACACATGCCTCTGGAGGCCGGCGGGGACAGGCCAGCGTGATGGCGGAGGTGTCGGCGGATGGCGGTGGGTCGCCCGCACCGCTTCCCCGACCCCCCCCC